AACCGCATCACACCCTGTCCAACCAATTACTGCCCACATTTTCCTGCCCAGCAGTCCCTGCCGGGCCGGTTTATGTGAAGTAAAAGAGTGAAGGGTAAGTTAAGAAAAGAAAAGGAGGAATGTCAGCTAAATAATGATAATACCAAGGTGAGAAGAAGATTAAAAAGAACGAAGGGAAAGTTGAAGATACAAGTCGGTTAGGAGAAGGGGAAGGTTTGGTACTGCCACCCTAGAGCATCTAATTGACGCTCGAAACCCTCTACCGTAGACTCCCTAACCACGTGCGCTGGAAGCGAGTTCCAACGTTCAATAACTCGACGCGACAAGCGAGTTTCCGTCCTTACCCGGTCAGAACGCTGTTTGTGCAGCTTCAACGGGTGACCTCGGAGACTAGGCAGCTTGGCGGGACTAAATAGCCAGGATAAATCTGGACCAATCTTACCCGTTAAGATACGGTAAGTGAGAATCAAGTCTCCTCTAATTCTGCGGTAGTGCATTGAGTACATACCCAAGCTAAGCAAACGTTCGGGATACGTTTGCCCCCGTAAGCCTTGCACTAACCTTGTACCCACTCGCAAAACCCTCTCCAGTTCCATTTTGTCCCTTACAAGACAAGGTGGACAAGCCTGGATACAGTACTCTAAGTGAGGTCGCACGAAAGCTGAGAACAGCTTCACAAAGATATTGGCCGTTAGGACACCGAAGGAGCGGCGAATAAACCACATCATACGGAACCCTCTACAAGCAGCCTTCCTCCAATTTTCCCCAGAGTGAAGCAAGGAGGTATGGGTGATACCTAGATCAACCTGCTGAATGACAACAGGGAGTTCACTTCCACCAACTACATAGCGCGTGGGGGGACTAGCACCTCCAATGCGGAGGACAGAACATTTCGCCTGATTTATGGGCATCAACCATAAGGTTGACCAATCCCAGAGCCTATCCAAAGCACTCTGAAGTGCCTCAGAGCCACCAGGGATATCCACAATATTCCAGAACTTGAGGTCATCAGCAAACAATAGCGACGGTACTCCAAGCTCTTGGGGTAGGTCATTGACATAAATTGCGAAAAGCAACGGCCCTAGAACCGAGCCCTGCGGAACGCCACTAAGAACAGCTTGTCTAAGCGAAAGGCTACGCCCCACGCGTACACACTGTTCTCTGCCCTCTAGGAAAGCAGAAACCCATTTGAGGGCGGCTCCAGATATCCCATACGATCTCAACTTCAATGAGAGTCGCTGATGTGGGACAGTATCAAAAGCTTTCGAGAAGTCAACGAAAAGCACGTCGATGGCGTGGCCGTTGTCTACTGCCTCAGCCCAGCTTTCACGAGCTACAAGCAAATTTGTCAGACATGAAAATCCCTTACGGAATCCGTGCTGGGCCGCACTGAGAAGGTTAAACTTAATCAGGTGATTCTCCACCGAATCCCTGACCAATTTTTCAAACAACTTAACTACTACGCTTGTTAAGCTGACAGGTCGGTAGTTCGCGGGCAGAACTCTGTCCCCGCCCTTGAAAATCGGACAGATGATTGCCTTCTTCCATTCCGAAGGTAAGGCACAGCTGTCGAGTGATATTGTAAACATGCATGTCAGAGGGCCACTTAGCTCAGCGGCCAATTCATGCATCAGCTTCGGATGAATTGAATCAGGGCCAGAAGCTTTGGAAGGATTTAGCCCTTGCAATAGCCCGAAGACTTGTGTCTCCGTTATGCTTATTTCAGTTAGGCAAGAATCCTCCGGAACTTTAGTGACCAGCTCAACTTGAGGTAGAGAGGCCTCATGAGAAAAGACACCAGTATACGGTTCGCTAAGTATACAGGCATTATCGTAATCGGTATGCCCTGGCGCACTGACCAGCACTGAACCATACGGTGCATATCACATGGGTGGGTTTCTCCTCAGCAATACAACTCACGAGAGAGATCTCGGGGTTATCGTGACTCCTGACCTTAGAAGGACGCAGGACACGTTGAAGAAGGTGGCCAGTGGAAGGAGACTGGTGGGTGCCTTAAGAAAATCATTCGCTCGAATGACTCCTGAGATTTTTCGACCTTTGTTCACTTCGTACGTCCGTCCAGTCTTAGAATATGGCCTTTCAGCTATCCATTCGCTTTCAAAGTTTAAGTGCGCCCTACTGGTAAAGGTTCAGAGGCGTGCCTTAAAATCTGTTCTAGGTCTTCGTGATCTCCCATACTCCATTCGACTCCAGCAGCTAAATCTGCTCTCCTTCGAGCTCCGCCGTCGCTGGGGTGATCTCATCTACACTAAGCGCATCCTCCGAGGGGAACATGGGAGTGAGTTACAGCAATTCTTCCGGCCCAACACTGACTGTTTCGCACGTGGTCACACATGGAAACTGTTTAAGCAAAGAAGACACAGAACTCGCATGGACGTCACCCTATCCCCTAGTGGTGAATGATTGGAACGGCCTACCGGAAGAAACTGCAGACGCTCCATCCGAGGAAAGTTTCAAGCGGCTAATAGACAAACATTCGCTGAGAATGCTGGAATATTGCGCCTGTCACTGCAATTGCGACGAACCCTCGAGGAACGTCGTAATGCAACGACACGCATGAAACCCAGTATGATACGGAATCGATGGGGCTGACAAGGGATTTCCCTCCTGCTCTCTACAACTCAATGAACCTTTTGGTCACTCCTGCTATGCGGGATCTCGACCGCTTCACTGTTTTCGACTAGATTTTGTCCTAATGGTTAGGCACATCGATAACAGAAGAGCGAGTTATAGGAAACATGAGCGTGACAGTGTTTGAAGAAACATGTCAACGCGGTAACTGTAGTTGATGGAAGTGAGCGGTTGGAGCCGGGAACATGACTAGGGCCAATATTGGCCCAAATGTCAGTGACATTATGCAGCTTTAGGTGTTGATGAAAGAACAACGGAAGCGCTAATAGAGTAAGCATATTACAGCCAAAAGTCAAAAACACCCTATGGGCTTACCGGAAGCCATGGCGCATCAACTAGATGAGTTCGAAAGTCCGCCGCTTCCACTTTAGATGTTAATACTTGTAGTGAAATCGTTTTCTAGCTCTGCAATAGTGTAAAATTGCAAAAGCTAATGCAGGAAGATTGTGTTGTTTAAACGTGCTAAAATAGACGATTCTAGAAAGTTCTGAGATTTGCCGATTCAAACAAGCCACACAACAAGACCATCTTGGCTTACCTTTTATAAATTTACTCTGTTTTTAGGTTATCAATTGGTTTTAATGAGTAAAGCGACTGCACGAGATCTTTCGCTAACTTTGTGCACCCATAGGTACCAAATTTGTTTTTAAATTTATGATGATTTCGGGTAGCCCTACGTTCTAGCTACCTTAGGACTTAAACATTAAAACCTTCCTTCAGTTGTTCCTCTTACAGCTCTTCATTGTACCACAAGTTGTCCCGACTAGCTGAATTAGGGTTGGAATGAATCAAAAATCATATCGCATCCATGCTGGTTGTAGCGATTGTACATAATTTACTTATTTTTCATTTTCACGCCTACCTATTTCGCTGCAGTTGTTGTACAGGTTTGTTTTAATTAACTATATATGCTTGATTTCCAACTCATCTTCCGTGCTTCTCCGTTGGTTGCCACTGGATTGTTGTGCTTGTGCGCATCGCTGCCAGCTCTATTCACCATCGGACTCTACGTACACGTACACTTGGCGTACCTCGCGATTTACGGTTGTAAGACGCTAAGGCGCATCAGGATATTCTATATGTGAGATAGACCTGACTGACTGGGTATTCCCCTTTACAGGTTCCTCCATATTATTCGTGACCACACATTTTTCTTTATTGTTTGTGTATCATTTTTCTTTTTCTTCACGAATCTGTTCACAAGCCTGCTTTTAACGCGTCGGAACATTCGCTTAGACTCGCCTTACCCTCACTTATCTTTTCTAACCCACGTGTTTGGTTAGTTCAAGTAGAAGCCGTTTTCCGTTTTCGTTAGGTTGCATCCCAGTCCACAATGTTTTCTTATGTGACTGCTCAGTTACCGTCCAACATCCCCCCTGAGGTCATCGCCATTCTTTATTCTATGCCCCTAGACTCCCCCATGATAAACTTAAGACAGCCATATTAAAGCGCGCTACAGCCTCAGATGCGACACGCCTTCAGCAGTTACTCTCCGGCGTTGCGCTTGGAGCTAGAACACCGTCTCAGTTACTCCGACACATGCGTTCCCTCGTCGGTCCTTCCATACTGGATGATTCCGTTCTCCGCCAATTGTGGAGAAATTGTCTTCCTACGAATACCACGGCTATTTTAGCTGTTCTCGCTGACGATCTTCCGCTAGACAAACTGGCAGAAGCTGCCGATAAGGTTTACGAAAGCTTCATTACAACGTCGGTATCCCAAGTCACTAGACAAGCTCACGCAATCTCTCCGGAACCATGCTACTTGATACAATCAACGAGAGACTTTCTAACCTAGAGCTCGCCTTGTCCTACCTCAAACGCGACCGCGTTCCTCCGCGATGATCCATTTATGGATCCAAACGTTCTAGCAACTCTAGTACACGACGGTCGCACCACTGTTGTTATTGTCACCACCGCTTCTGAGACGCAGCTCGGTGTAAACACGCACCAGCCTTTTCAACTCCTACGTCGGGAAACCACATGGCCAGCCAGTAATGGCGGCGGCTGTCGCTGGCCAGGTTATTAGTCGCCTGTTGTACGTATCTGACTCCACAACGAAAATTCACTGCTTGGTTGATCCTGACGCAGAAGTCAGAGTTCTTCCCGTTCTCTGGACAGACGCCCCCTGCAACCAGCCGGTCCAATGCTTACGGCAGCTAATTAGACTAAAGTCGCTGTCTACGGCCAGAAATTACTTACTTTGAGACTCGGATTACGGCATAACTTCCCTTTCATTTTTACCATCGCCGATGTGCAAAAGTCCATCATCGGAATCGACTTCCTCAGCAAGTTCGGTCTTGTGGTCGACTTACGTTGTGCGAAATTACGAGACGATACTAGGTCTTTAAGTATCCCCTGCAAATTTGCTTCAGTCATTTCTCTCGGGCTGTGCCTCCTCATACCTGACGACTCACAGTACTGCTCATTAAGCTGACTATTTCCCTCCCCAATTTGAGCAAGTGACGATACTTTCGACCCTAAACACGATGTACGCCACACATCGTTACAACCGGCACGCCAGTACCTGTTAATGCTCGACGCTTGCACAGTAATAACCAGCAGGCAGCTAAAAATGTATTCCAACACATACCTGACCTCGGCATTGTTCGTACTTTAAACAACTGCTGGACATCACCGCTCCATCTGGTGTCTAAAAAGTCAAGAGATTGGCGACCATGCGGTGACTACCGTGCTCTCAACAACGTCACTGTTCCGGATAGGTATCCTATTCCCCATATCCATGATTTCTCTCTTTGACTAGCCGAAAAGTCAATCTTTACCAAACTTGTCCTAATCAGTGCTTACCATCAAATACCAATGACGGAGGAAGACATCGCAAATACCGCTGTAGTCACTCCATTTGTCCTTCACGAATTTCTTCGTATGCCTTTCGGCCTCCGAAAAGCAGCACCGTCTTTCCAAAGCTTTATGGATAAGGTATTTTGTGGCCTTCAGTTCGTCTACGTTTACACTGACGATATTTTGATCGCAAGCTCCACACCTGACGAGCATTTATCACACCTCCGAATGATTTTCGAACGGTTTGCAAGTCACGGTATAACCAACCACCCTGGCAAATGCAAATTTAGTCAGCCCACCGTCGCCGTTCTCGGTCACAAGATCGATGGGGAAGGTATTAAATCTCTCTCGGATAAATCCCAGGCGATCCTCGAGTATCCAATGCCTCAATCCGTCCGAAGCCTATGCCGATTGCTCGTTATGATCAACGACTACCGCAGACTCATTCCCAACTGCGTTGATTTACTGCATTCGCTTACCGACTTACTGAAAAGAAACTAAAAGACGTTCACGATCACTCAGAAGTTGAAGCCGCTTTCACGGCCGAGAAGCAGAAGTTTAGCAAGGTCACCTAACTCTATTACTTGAACGGCGCTGAGGACACTACACTTGTCCTTAAGACGGATGCCTCAAGTTCCGCTGTCGGTGCAGTTTTGCAACAATCAGGTGATAACGAATTTCAACCACTGTCCCTTTGCTCACTGAAGCTACAACCTGCTCAGGTCAGGTACAGCACCTTTGGTCGTGAACTGCTCGTCAAGTAATTGACTGTGAAACACTTCCGTCACCTTTTAGAAGGACGTTGTTTCATACGCTTGACAGATCACAAGCCACTGGTGTACGACTTCCATTCTGTCTCGGGCCGTTACTCTCCCCGAGAAAAGCGTCATCTGGACTATCTTTCGCAGTTTTGTGTTTATGTTCGTTATATCGACGGTCATAGCAGGGTTGTTGCCGATGCCTTATCCCGCGCTCATGTGAAGCAATTGTCATCAACACCCATCGACTTGGAGAGAATAGCTGCCGCTCAAAACATTGATCCTGATCTTGTCCAACTTCGATCAAATCCCTCTTTGAAAGTCACATAATTGCCCTTACTTAACTCTGACATAAGGGTTTACTGTGACCTTTCAACCGGTAAGTCTAGACCCATCGTCCCACGATCATTTTGTCGAACCATTTTTGATCATTTTCATGGTCTTTCACACCCCAGTATTCGCTCTACCGTAAAGCAATTACCGACCGCTTCCCCTGGCACAATACGCGTTCAGCCATTAGACATTGGGCTAAACATTGTTTTAGTTGCCAAATCAATAAAGTTCATCGTCACACAGTCACTACCCCAGGTAAATTTTCACGCCCCGATGAACGTTTTAGACACGTTCACGTAGATATTCTTGGCCCTTTACCTCCTTCCAACGGTTTCACTCATTTTCTAACATGGGTTTACCGTTTTACCCGTTGGCCTCAAGCTGTTCCTTTACGTGATACATCCACCGAATCTGTTTCACTCGCTTTTGTGGAAGCTTGGATTTCTCTGTTTCGTGTTCCATTCACCGTCGCTACCGACAGAGGGACTCAGTGCATTTCCACACTGTTCCGTGACCTGAGTCGTTTATTAGGCTGTACTCACGTGAGAACAACTGCGTACCACCCCGCTGCCAATGGCCTCGCCGAGCGCTTTCATCGATAATTGAAAGCCGCCATCATGGCTAGTTCATCCGACTCACTCTGGTCTGCGAGTCTACCTGCCATCCTCCTTGGCACACGTAATACCGATTTCCGATATCTGTATGACCAGTTCAGCGATCTCTCGCAGGATACGCAATACAATCAAACAGGACAGTGGGTGCTGCCCTGCAGAACTCGTGTTCAGCACGACCCTCAGACTACCTGGTGAGATGATACTGGACTCTCGCGCCACTGGCGAACTAGACCCCTTCTCGTATGCTGAACCACTTAAACAGCATTTCCGATCTATTTGACCAACGTCTACGCAGTCTAACATGTGTAAACAGCAAATCCACCCCGATTTGCACAAGTGTCCGTTTTCATCCTCGTACATGCCGTCCGAAGACCTTTAACCCCGCTATATGAAGGCCCGTACCAGGTTTTATCACGGAAACCCAAGTATTTCGTGTTGAACAAGAACGGAACAAAAGAATTCGTGAGCATTGACCGAGTCAAACCAGCTTACATTGAACCTACAGTTTCTAGTACAAACCACGTTTCCTCCTCTCAGAATACTCCAGGCCCTGATTCATTACCCCCTACCAAACAACACACTGACGCCAGCACACCGAACCCTCTGTGCCCTCCGACTACACGCAGCTCCACACACACACACACACACACACACACATTTTCTGGTCGTGTTGTTTCCCTTCCACATAAGCTTGCCCAGTACGTTCCGTAGGCATTTTGTCGAGCGTTTCTTTAGTGCACGCTCTAGGGGAGTGCTGTAGCGATTGTAAATAATTTGCTTCTTTTTCATTTTCACGCTCACCTATTTCGCCACAGTTGTAGTGCAGCTTTGTTTTAATTAACTATTTATGCTTGATCTGGAGCTCGTCTTCCGTGCTTCTCC